AGGTGGAGCGTTGACTTGACACAACATGCATGTGCAGGCAACCATAAATTTGAGATAAGTAGCAGAGACGGTTTGAGGTGGAGTGTTGACTTGACACAACTTGCATGTGCTTGCAGAAAATGGCAGCTCACTGGAATATCATGTCCCCATGCAATATCAGGCATGCTTTCAAGGGATATTGGCATATATGAGTACATCGACCCATGGTATAGCAAGGAGACATACCTGAAATGTTACTCTCCAGTGATCCACCCGATGTCAAGGCCTAAACTGTGGCCAGAATTGGGAAAACATCCTCTCAATCAACCTCAGAAGAGAAAACAGGCTAGCGGACCCAAAAAATTGAGGAAGATGTCACAGGCAGAGCCACCTTCAGGCGTTAAGATGGAAAGGACTGGCATAAAGATGACGTGTAAACGCTGTGGAGGGTCTGGACATAACAAAAGAAGCTATAAGGAGGCACTGCCTAGTGAAGATAGCTCACAGTAACAGTCTCAACCAACCACACAAGAAGATACACATACCAGATCAGCGAAGGGGAAGAGAAAAGCACATTCAACGCAAATCTCCAAGTCACAGACAAAGAAGTCCAAGCATAGAGGATCGCAATCTTGAACATAATGTGGTTTCTCTTGTATAGTTACCTTTTTGGAAAAATGCTGTGGTTTTTTGTAAACTGAACTGAAAATATGTGCTTCCAATGCTGTGTATTTTGTAGATGTAACTGGAATTTTTGATGAAATTGTTCAATGTGATGATAATGTTGATGTCGAATATCTTGCATTATGTTTCTGCTGTTTGTCGTTGGTTTCTGAAATTGTATTCGTAAGATATGATGTGCAGGCGATTATGAAATAAATGAGAATGTTTGATACTTCATATGAAAGTATTATCAAACGTTTGGTACCTTTACTGCAATATTTTTAAAGGTTTGGTACTCTGTCTGAAACTATTAGAAAATGTTTGGTACTGATTCTGCGAATCGTTATAAGGTTTGGTACCTATGCTGCACCTTCTTCAGATAAGTTTGAAGTGTAATCTGCTCTTTTAATTTTGCATTTGACATAGAGGCCAAGAAAATATCGTTAAATTTCAAGTTAAAAGGTACAACACAATTTTTCCTTTTTTACATATGCATTTCATAACATCTAGCACATGGCTTCATTTCGAAACCCAAAGCTCAAATTTCTAGAACAAAAAACTAAATTCCTACAATCTGACCCTACATACCTAGGATCAAACCCATTTTGCAAACACTCCACACACAAAGTCGAAGAGCCAGATCTTCCACACATTTGGTCTTGTTGCTTGAAGGGTGTCGATTTCAGCTTCCATTTCCTCCTAGCTCGTAATAGACGAGAAATCAGTTCCTTCGATCTCTCACACATCGGAGGGTCACACCACATAAAGAAGGTGCATCCACCCACATCTTGGCTTCGAGGACAAGTGAGAAATCTTCTTCCTGGGTTCAAGTTCGTCCACGAGGTCTTCATTTGCACTGGAGAACCACATCTGCATACATTCCCCTCCATGTGCGTGCTAATTTTTTTGACTACCTATGAGAGAGAAGGTAGGTAATATATAGATATAAAGAAATGGAGGGAAATAAACAGTGAAGTATATAATAGGAGGGAAATGTGTGTAGTGACCATGTTGCCCTTCACTTATTTGGGGAAAATTCTTGAAATTATCATTAAAGGAGTCAACTGACGGTTTTGGCGGTCAAACAGACGGAAACCATCATTTTGGACTAGCCCCACACATTTTTTAAAGGTTTGGTATCTCCGGTGGCACAAACTAAAGGTTTGGGCAAAGTCTGCTAATAAATGAAAGGTTTGGTACCTCGGCTGCAATTTTCCCTTAAAAAATCTATGCATATAACTTTTGAAGAAACTAATCCTCTTGATCAAGGCAAATGTATTGTCAATGATGTAGGTTTGGAGATCCGTTTCGAGCAAATAAACATCCAAGATCAAAATAGGGAAGATCCTAAAGATTAATATGAGAAAGAAACAAGTATTCAACAAGTTGAAGTAGATTCTCCCATAGTATAAAATGATCCAACTTTACCTAGAGATTTGAAGTTTGTTCCCTCTCACCTAAAAGAACTTATCATTAGTGATCCATCCAAAGGTATTGGTACTAAAGCTTCTATTAGAAATCATCTTAATAGTTGTGCATTTATTTACAAATTGAATCTAAAAATTTTAAAAAAAGTCGAGTATGATGAATTTTGGGTATTGGCTATGCAAGAAGAACTCGATCAATTTGAAAAAAAAAATTAAAAAAAAAACCATATTTGATATTTAGTCACTAGACCAAATGATCAAACAGTCATTGGTACAAATAGGTTTTTCGGAATAAAAAAGATGAAAATGAGATAATTGTGTATAACAAAGCTAGATTAGTGGTCCAAGGTTACAATCAAGAAGAAGCATCGATTATGAGGAAGCTTTTGCATCGATTGCTAGATTAGAATCTATTCGCTTGCTTCTTGCATTTGCTTACCATAAAGAATTCACTATTTATCAAATGGATGTTAAAAGTGTATTTCTAAATGGCTTTATTCAATGAGAAGTCTTTGTAGAGCAACTCCAATTTTAATGATCACAAACATCTGGACAATATTTTTGAACTTAGAAGCGCTTTTTAAGATTTAAAGCAAGCTCCTAGGGTATGAAAGATTGAGCAAATTTCTACTTTCAAATTGTTTTTCAATGGGTAAAGTAGATATACTCTCTTTGTCAAAACTCAAAACATTATATGATTGTTGTACAAATTTATGTTGACGATATTATATTTGGTACAACTAATGTTTGTCTTTGTGAATATTTTTCAAAATGCATGAGCAAGGAATTTGAAATGAGCTTGATGGGAGAGCTTAAATTCTTCCTTGGACTTCAAATTAAGCAAACTAGTGATGAAATATTATTAGTCAAAATAAGTATATATTGTACATGCTCCGTGAGTTTGAAATGGAAATTTTGAAGCTAATGAACACTCTGGTGAGCTTATTCATAAAATTGGACAAAGATGATCAAGGTACTTTGGTGGATGTAACTAAATATCGAGGTATGATATAATCACTTCTCTATTTAACCACTAGTAGACCCGATGTTTAGTGTATGCTTATGTGCTAGATTTCAATTTAATTTCTAAAAATCTCATCTTAGTGTCGTAAAAGGAATTTTACATAGCTTAGTAGTACTAGAACTTTAG